TTGTTATGCTATCACCCTTTGTAATGCCTTGTCCGGGAAGTCCTCATAATTTTTATGCCCTTAGATTTCTGTGAAGCATCTTTGTTGGAGTGTTTTGGGGTCTCTGTGATTGGCCAGGAAATCTTAGCTGAATTAGAGACTTGGCTAGGCATCGTGGTTCACGCCTGTAATCCCAGAAACTTGGGAGGCCGAATTGGGTGGATCACTTGAGTCCAGGAGTTTGAGAACAGCCTGGCAAAATGGTGAAACCCTGTCTCTACCAAAAATACAAAAAAATATGCTAAGCACAGTGGCACGTGCCTGTAGTCCCAACTACTTGAGAGGCTGAGGCAGGAGGTTCCCTTGAGCCCAGGAGGTCGAGGCTGCAGTGAGCTTAGATAGTGCCATTGCACTCCAGCCTGGGTGACAGGAGTGAGTGAAACTCTGTCTCAAAAAAAAAAAAAAAAAAAGAGGCTTTAATTCATCACTGTGTGGCATAACGAAAAGCATATGCAGGCTTTAGAGTTGACACACCTGGGTCTGGTCTGGCCTCCATTGTTTATTACAGTGATTCTTCAACTTGGCCTCACATTGGACTTAGCTGAGGAGATTTATAAGCAATATTTATGTTGGGTACCACTTCAGAGATGGTGACCTAATTGGCCTGGGGTGGCCTAGGCATGTGGACTTTTAACAACTTCCCCAGGTGATTCTAGTTTGAGACTCACCGAATATGTGATTGTGAGTTTACTTAATGGTTCTAAGCCTGAAGTTTCCTCATATGTAAAATGGGTATAATCACATCTCTCTTACAGCAGCACTGTGAGGATCATAGTTAACGTGAGATGCCTAAATGAGATGATTTCAGGGGAGCTGGAAGGGCCCCTACTTCTCAAACCCCAGTATACTTTGCCATACTGCCTCTTCCACTGCCACCATCGGGCCCCCTAACAACTTCCCCAGTTATTCTGGCTCATCACCACTCCTTTGAGGGAATATCTTTTGAACTGATGAAAGGACATCTGCTGGCTGTTGACCTCCTTCTCATCTCCACCTAATCCAGCATGGTTCACACGCCGGGCAAGAGGTATTTTAGAGACAAAGAACATAAAGTCCTTGCACTAAGACCAGGATTGGCCCATGAATGTGCTAGAGACTATGCCCTGGTTGCTGTCTGCATCTCCCCAGTGTGGCTGGCCTTTCTGCCCACTTCCTTGAGTGATGATCCTGTTCACCATCCTCTCCAACACATCAGCCGATTCGACCATTATTTAGCCGGTCCAGAGTTCACGTTCCTGTTTGCAACACCAAAGCCTTTTAACCTTTTGGCATGCTCCTCTCATGAAGCCTTCCCTTAGCCCTCAGTTTGAGATGTACTATCCTTACAGTGAAGTGTCTGGCATGCACTTTTCGGTGCTAGAGTCTACCAAATCATCATTTATGCACTTGTCTCATCTCCCCTGTTCAACTAAAAGCATCAGGAAATCAGGGACTATCCGTCTCCCCAGCACGTAGAACTGTTAGTATATGTGTGGGCGCTCAGGATGTGTTGATTGAGTGAATGAAAGAAAGATCCCTTATATACTTACAGTGCGTCCCTTCAATGAAACAACCCAATTACATGAACAAGCTGAAGTCTGAAGTCCTGTGTTCTGAGCTGGACTTTGAGTTCTCTAACTGTAGGTGCTGGGTTCTTATTTCTTTACGTTCCTCATGGCATCTGGCACAATACTTGGCCAACAATAAGTGCTCAGTGAGCACTTCTTATCCTATTAAGGAGTGGAGATGTGAATGCAAAAGAGCCAAAGGAATGACCCCAAACCACTTAGTGGCCTCAACAGAGATGGACAAGAGCCAGACTTTGCTGATTAGGGCAGTGGTATCTTAGGGGAATGTGCATACCCTAACAAGATCCATTGGGTCTGAGAAGAACATTTTAGAACTTCTATATCTTTATTTAAATTTAAAAATAATTAAGCTTTATACAGAGTAATATAATGGACTTTGGAGACTCAGAAGCAGGGAGGGTAGGAAGGGGATGAGGGATAAAAAAAACTACAGATTGGATCCAGTGTACATTACTTGGGTGATGGGTGCACTATAACATCTCAGACTTCACCATCATACAATTTTTTTTTTTTTTTTGAGACGGAGTCTTGCTCTGTTGCCCAGGCTAGAGTGCAGTGGCCGGACCTCGGCTCACTGCAAGCTCCGCCTCCTGGGTTTACACCATTCTCCTCCCTCAGCCTCCCGAGTAGCTGGGACTACAGGCGCCCGCCACCTCGCCTGGCTAGTTTTTTGTATATTTTAGTAGAGACAGGGTTTCACCATGTTAGCCAGGATGGTCTCGATCTTCTGACCTCGTGATCCGCCCGTCTCGGCCTCCCAAAGTGCTGGGATTACAGGCTTGAGCCACCGCGCCTGGCCCACCACTATACAATTTATCTATATAACCAAAAACCACTTACATCCCCAAAAGCTATTGAAATAAAAAAACTTTTTAAGAAAAATAATTATGCTTTATTGAGTTCTATATTGATGGCTATGGCCCCTTCATTTGATCTGCATGGAACATGTGAGAGGGCCACTGTCACCCTCACTGGCTTGTTTTCGTTCAGTATATTAAAAATAATCTCAGCTGGCGTGGTGGCTCATGCCTGTAATCCCAGCACTTTGGAAGGCTGAGGTGGGAGGATCCCCTGAGGTCAGGAGTTTGAGACCAGCCTGACCAACATGGTGAAACCCCTTCTCTACTAAAAATATAGAAATTAGCCAGGCGTAGTGGCAGGCACGTGTAATCCCAGCTACTCAGGAGGCTGAGGCAGGAGAATTGCTTGAACCCAGGAGGCAGAGGTTGCAGTGAGTGAAGATCGCACCATTGCACTCCAGCCTGGGTGACAGAGCGAGACTCCATCTTCAAAAAAAAAATCTTGAGCAGTTTACATATACCTGTGGATTTATGAATTTTATTGTCTAGTTTGTCTAGTTTACTACATACAGCATAGATAAGTGGCTTAAAAATTCTTCCAGAGAAACAGGAATTGAAATGATTATTGATGATGTAAGCACAAGAGAACAGCTAGAAATTGGCAGAAGTGACCCTTCTCCCAGGCTGGTACGCCATGTTGGTTAGTCAGATGACAAGAGAAATACAATGGTGGTCTAACAAGAACAAGCACAATAGTAATCTGACAAAGACATGCCATAAATTTTTGAAATAGTCAAGAAGACTCTAAGAAATGTGGATTTATATTCATTGTCATTGTTGTATTAACCAAATCCTATATGGACACTATGTCTTGAAGAATTAATCCAATGGTGTTTGAAGGATTAATGACTTTTGAAGATTTTTAATTTCATTTTACCTCATCTTTTGAAATTTCTGTTTTTGTATTTGTTAAAAATATTCCTAATATATTAGTCTATTAGTATATCTCTGTAGAAATTAAACATCCATGTATTGGGTATGTATGCTGAAAAATATTTTACTAGTAGGAGCGCATGTCCACTGTCAGAATGTCATACAAATGAGAGTGTGGTTTGTTCTTGATGGGCTTTTAGTGTCGTCATGTCATACTACTCTCACATGATTGACCAGAAAGCCATTTCAGGAATGTGTGTTATTAGTCACCATGGTAATGGCACAGCTGGGAGGGGAATGGATCATTAAAAATCCATCATCACTATTGGGTTAGAAATTAACTCAGATCACACATTCTTATGAGGTCAGGTCATCTTTTGCTTATAGAAAAAGGCAACCCTTAAAATGTAACGTATTTTTAAAGATATGTATTATAGGCATTACGTGAGCTTATTCATACATTTGGAAGTGAAAGACAAAACCCCAGAAATATATTTGTCAAGCATTTTGTTATTTATTTGAACCCTACAACAACCCTGTAAGGTGGGGATGATCCTCATTGTATGACAAGGAAAGATAAAATCACAGACCTTGAGTGACTTGTCCAAACTCACATATTTAGTAAGTATAGAATGAGGGTGCAAAATTAGATAATTGGTATTAGCCAATATTTAGCTGTTAGTTTCCAAAGGCAAAGAATACATAGGCATGGTATCAAGTCACCTAATCCAGTAAGTCCTCACTTAACATCATCGATAGGTTCTTGGAAACTGTGACTTTAAGCAAAATGACAGATAATGAAATCAGTTTTACCATAGGCTAATTGATGTAAACAAGAGTTAAGTTCCTATGGCATATTCCTGCTCACAAAAACATCATCAAACTTCTAAATAAAGACCAAAACACGTCTAATATTGAACACTGAATACATGTGAGCCATGCATACATTTAAGAAAGATGAATAAAAGTAAGTAAGATGATTATTAACCCAGTTATTCTAGTTCAGGGTTGCAGGTGCTGGAGCCTATCTAGGCAGCTCAGGGCAGCAGGCGGGAACCAGCCCTGGCTAGGACGCCATCCTGTTGCAGGGTGCAGTCACACACGCACCATGCTCGCTCACACTGGGAATGTGTAGACACGCCGATTAACCTAACAGGCACATCTTTGAGATGTGGGAGGAAACAACAGTACCTAGAGAAAACCTGTGCAGACTTGGAGAGACTGTGCAAACTCTACACAGACAGTGACCCTGGCCCAGAATGGGTTTTTTTCTTATCAACTATATAACAAAAGAATGTTGAATGAAATGATGCTATTTGAGGATCTGCTGTAATTTGAAGGTCCTCACAATTTCCAGACATGAAAGGCTGTGTAACAGCGGACTTTATACCCTGAGAGTGAAAGCAAAATGTTCACTCTGAGGGCTGGGGCTGGAATCTTTCCTTCATCTATCTCTGTTGGGTGGTGAAAAGCAAGCCAATTTTGGTTGTGCTTATTGACATTTATCATCTTATGTCATTTCTCAAGTGAAAGTTCTGCATTTTTGTATGAGTAAGAGGTCCCTCGGTGGAGCTTTGCCAACCGTTTTTCTCAAGGTGTTCTGCAGAGCATCAGATATTGACCTAAAATACAATAAATGGGCATCTCTCTCTGTTAACAGGACCATTGCCAACTATTTGGTGTGGAGAATGGTTTATTCCAGAATTCCAAACCTTAGCAGGCGCTTTCAGTATAGATGGCTGGAATTCTCAAGGGTAAGTTTAAGAAGATTGCAATGTTACATCGCTGGATAACTTTACATGCTAGAATCGTCCATATATTAACTGATCCAATAAAAATCATCTTCAGGGATTAGACAGGGCGTTTGTAGCCCAAGCTCTATTTGTGTGTGTGTGCCTTATTTATTTTTATTTAGGTATAAATTACATATGATAAGATACACTCAAGCTCTACTTTGATGGGTTCTATGAAGATATTTAGAGAAATACTAGAGGCCACACATTGTTTTCAAACTTCCCCGTCTTATCAGTGGATTCCCATTTTCCCCCAGAGTTTTTAACTGGGTCACTGTAATTATAGTTTTAACATTTCATTGTGATATATTTGTAACTATCTTTTATTTTCAGTATTCTGAACATTTAAAATGTGCATGATAGAGATATTAGATGGTAGAATTTCATTTTCAATTTGGAAATGGAATTTTGTCTTAAACTTTGCCTATACCTTCCATCTTCGCATCTATCCTCTGCTAGGTCCAAGAGGCTCTAATTTCGTTTTCTCTGAGACCTCCTCCACCTGCCCACCTGGCTCTTTATTTATTTATTTTTATTCAAGATGGGGTCTTGCCATGTTGCCCAGGCTTGTCTTGAATTCCAGAGCTCAAATGATCCTCTCACCTCGGCCTCCCAAAGTGCTGGGATTAAAGGCATGAGCCACTGTGTCGGGCCTCACCTGGCTCTTTAATCTTGGCTTCTCTCCCACCCTTGCTCGCCTCCCAGTTTATACCCATGGTACTCTCATCTTTGTTTTTGAGGCTTGTATCTGACTAATTCTCCTTCCACTAGAGGCCGTAAGGATTTTGTATCTTTGAAACAGTTTTTATTTTTCTATCAATTTAAAGTGAAGTGAATGGTGAATCTTGTAAGCTATGATTTCATTCAAGAGGCATTTTTGTTATTAGAGGAACTGTAAGTATAGAAATTCTTAGTGGGCCATTACTCTGGAAGAGTAGTGCAATTATTTTGGATATGCTTTGACCCTATAAAGTCACTAGCATATAAAGTTACTTTAGGGCTGCATGCAGTGGCTCACGCCTGTAATTCCAGCACTTTGGGAGGCCGAAGCAGGCAAATTGTTTGAGGTCAGGAGTTTGAGACCAGCCTGGCCAAGGTGGTGAAACCTCATCTCTACAAAAAATACAAAAATTAGCCAGGTGTAGTGGCACACGCCTGGAGTCCCAGCTACTTGGGAGGCTGAGGCAGGAGAATCGCTTGAATCCAGTAGGCGGAGGCTGCAGTGAGCTGAGATGATGGCACCACTGTACTCCAGCCTGGGCAACAGAGCAAGACTCCATCTCAAAAAGAAAAAAAAAAGTCTTTTTCCAGAGAACAGCATAAAACAACTCTCTCTTTCTATATATATGTCGTATTGATGGGTTAAGATACAAAACAAGTAGATTGTGTGTGCGTGTGTGTGTGTGTATTTTTAACTGCTATGAATCACATAAAAGATGATGCCCAGCTGCTTTCCACCCCTACTGTGAAGAGAATGAGAGGGGTGTAAGAAGCAGTGTGTGAACATTTAAGGTTAGGTATGAGGGGATGTTTCTTGAGCACGAAGTGCTAAATATAATATTGAATTGCCGAAGAAGGTTGTAGGATCTCTTTCTCTAGAGGTTTTAAAAATAGATTCATCCCTTACCTCTGAGAGAGGTTACCAGAAATCAGAGGAAGAATAGATGAAATTAAGCCTTAATCCCATTCCTCAAAACAACCTGGGTCTAACATTGTGCAAAGGACACTTCTGGCCACCGTTCTCAGGGCCTCCCTTCCTCCCTGCCTGTACCCCCAACTTCCAAGGGCAACTTACACTATATTTATTTCTCTGCTTTTATCCCCAAGAGTAAACCTCTGACCCTTCCAGGTCCTGCTCGGGAACCTTCTTACTTGTTTGTAAATGTTTTCTTGTAATGATATAATTGGGACAGATGGGCACAGCATTTACATCTGTATTTTGCTTGTTTATCAGTGTGTTTTTTGCTGTGACACAATGTAAGTATGCTCCCTGTGTTGTTCATGGTGGACCGTGTTCTCCTGGTCTGCCTTGTTGAGTGCTACTCGGAGCAAGGAAACCCTCGCTGGACAGGAACTTTGCTCACCCACTGAATCTAGACCTTGTTAGTGGAACTTTAGTTCTCAGTAGAGATTAAATATTATCTGGACACTTGGATAGCATCTTCTCATGTCCCTGCTGACTGCAGAAAAGTGATGATACCATTGTCCAGATTTTTTGTTAATGGGGAAAATTGGGAAGAAAGGATAAATATATTATTTTAACTGTTAAAACACTTTCTTTTCTTCCTTTTTTTTTTTTTTTTTTGAGACAGAGTCTCACTCTGTTGCCCAGGTTGGAGTGCAGTGGCCCGATCTCAGCTCACTGCAACCTCTGCTTCCTGGGTTCACACAATTCTCCCACCTCGGCCTCCCAAGTAGCTGGGATTACAGGCATGCACCACCCTGCCTCGCTAATTTTTGTATTTTCAGTAAGCACGGGGTTTCACCATGTTGACCAGGCTGGTCTCAAACACCTGACCTCAGGTGATCTGCCCACCTGGGCTTCTTAAAGTGGTGGGATTACAGATGTGAGCCACTGCGCCCGGCCTAAAACATTTTCATTTAGTTTGAAATATAATGGGGACAAGCAGAGTTTTTTTTCCTCAGCTATTTTACCTTTGCCTCTACTATCTGATGCATATATATGGGTTAGGGTGTGCAATGTTTTGTAGACTATTTTCTTCAGGTTGTTTGAATTTTTTTTCAGCCATGGATTTTATCCAAATGAAGTTTAATCGGGATCAATTATCTCCCACAGGTAATCCAGGGGACCACAACTTTGCTGCCTCAGTGGGACAAATGTGTAAACTTTATTGAAAGTGCCCTCCCTTATGTTGTTGGAAAGATGTTTGTAGATGTGCACTTCCAGGAAGATAAGAAGGAAATGGTAAGTGGTGCACCCCAGCTAGCAAACAATAATGACAATTTAGCCAGATCTGAAAAGGGTATATTCAGCAGCCTAATGTCAGCCTTCCAGGGGGTAGGGGCCTGTGGATATTGTCTTCAGATTCTTTCAACTTCTAAGTGAAATAGGAAGAAAGGTCATCAAATGAGAGTGAGGATGAGTTAGCAAGTATTGAAGGTTAGAGGAGAGAGAAGGTGTGTAGTTGTCCAGGGGACTGGGCGAGTGAATAAACTGAGGGAATGTAGTGTAGCTGCTTGAAGGCGGCATGTCCAGATGTAGGTGAGGTTCGAGGTCATGAATTCAAAGAGGGTCTCATCACTGTGGCAACGTGTTCTTCCCCATCTGTTTCAACTGCACTGGAGGAAAAGATGTGTTTTTTTTCTTTCGGCTTTACTGAGGTACATTTGACTAATAACAATTGTATATATTCGAAGTATACGGCCGGGTGCAGTGGCTCACACCTGTAATCCCAGCACTTTGGGAGGCCAAGCCGGGCAGATGACTTGAGGTCAGGAGTTTGAGGCCTGCCTGGCCAACATGGTAAAACCCCCCATCTCTACTAAAACAATACAAAAATTATCTGGGCGTGGTGGCGGGCACCTGTAATCCCAGCTACTTGGGAGGCTGAGGCAGGAGAATCGCTTGAACCCAGGAGGCGGAGGTTGCAGTGAGCCAAGATGGTGCCACTGCCCTTCAGCCCAGGCGACAGAGCGAGACTCTGTCTCAAAAGAAACACAAACAAAGTATACAACATGATGATTTGACATACATTGTGAAATGGTTGCCACAATTAAATGAACATATCTGTTGTCACACTTATTTACCATTGTGTGTGTGTGTGTGGCGGGGGGAGGGGGTGTGAGGACACTTGAGATTTACTGTCTTAGCAAATTCAAGTATACAATACATAATTAGTAACTATAGTCACCATGGCATATTTTAGATCCCCAGAACTTATTCATCGTAGAACTTTGTACCCTTTGATCAATATCTCCCCATTTCCCTGCCACCAGCCCCTGGCAACTACTGTTCTACTCTCTGCTTCTATATTTTAACTTTTATAAAAATTCTACATATAAGTGAGATCATATAATATTTGTCTTTCTGTGTCTGGCTTATTTCACTTAGCATAATATCCTCTAGCTTTATCTATGTTGTTGCAAAAGGCAGGATTTTCTTCGTTTCTTCATTTTTGTGGCCGAATATTCCATTCACAAAATGTGAATACATCACATTTTCATTGTGTATTTATCCATTGAAGGGTGTTTAGGTTTATTCTATATCTTAGCTGTTATGAATAATGCTGCAATGAACATGAAGGTGCAGATCTTTCTTCCATATACTGATTTTACTTACTTTGGATATATACCCAGTAGTGGGATGGCTGGATTGAATGGTAGTCCTATTTTTAATTTTTTGAAGATTTTCCATGCTATTTCCATAATGGCTGTACCAGTTTACATTCTTACCAACAGCATATGAGCATTCCCTTTTTTTCCAGAAATACCTTGCCAAAACTTACCTCTTAAATTTTTGATCAGAGCCATCCTAACAGGTAGTGAAGTGGTATTTCATTATGGTTTGATTTGCATTTCCCTGATGATTAGTGATGAAAACCTTTTCATAAACCTGCTGACTGTTTATGTGTCTTCTCTGGAAAAATGTCGATTCAGATCTTTTGCCTATTTTTTAATCAGGTTGTTTTTTCGCTATTGAGAGGGTGTATTTTGAATTAGGAATTTGGATTTGGCCAGGTTTTTTGTCTGCATTTTATTTTTGATGAATTATATTTTACAAATGTCATGAAGTAAAAGATCCAGGCATGATTAATAACAATCCATGTAGTCAATCAGATACAAATATATGAGCAGCTTGGGTGCAGGTTGGTCAATAAACATTGAATTTAAGGGCAAAGGCATTGTAATGTCATGATTGTTCAAATGATTGGTGTCATGTAGTGATACATAATAATACCAAATGGTTGGTATTATGTGTCAGTACATAGTCATTATTGCTACATAATACATGATTATGTTTTATGCACTGAAGTTTGCTTTGCAATACCATATCTAAGTACATTTGTGGCAGGCCAGGTCTCACTAACACAGGCCTCCATCACAACTGTCCCAGCACGAACTGAGTAGCTAGGTTAAACATTAAAAGCTGATTGAGCCAGTGCCCATATACAAAGGCTGGAATGTAACAAAGAGCCCACCAAGAGTTTTGTCTAGGCTTTTCCTGGGCCTTGAAGCGTGACAAGATAATGAATGAATTATTAACAGGACCCTTTTAGGATTAAACAAGTTTTATTGGGGGTCTGAAGAAACTCCCCAGGCCTCCACAAACAAGTTTATTGGCGTCTAAAGGAACTCCCCAAACCTTTATGATTAGTAGGAGACAAGATAAGGGTAATCACCCCAGCACCTAGATCCGTTTAGATTAAGTAAACGTACTGAGGCTCCAGAAGAAGGTCTTCAAGACTCGGACCTAGTTATAGATTAAAAGAAGTTTATCACTTATGTCTTTCGACAAATGCACACTTACACGTAGACATATAGTTTAGAAGGTATATGAGCTCTAGAAAACTTTGTAATTTTGAGTTGGTCTGGTGATAATTTCCAGGCTTTCTTCCTGTAACCAGTGGCAGAAAATAAAACTCTCTTCTTCCCCAGTTCATTTGCATCTCATTATTGGGCTGTGAGAAATACCAGCCTGACTCTCAGTTTGGTCTGGGAACAAATTGGCCTATGTTAACTTGTTTTTGCTGTCTAAGTAGGAGACTTTATGTTTGAACCTGAAAGTTCTCTTGCAAACAATCCCACTGAAGAATTAATGGCTTATTTCAAAATACTCGATATTCTCATTGCATGTTTTCTTTTGCTCCTTGGTCAGAGTAAATAGTTTGAGATCTTATCAGATAATCACAGTGGTAATATTATAAGCTCTGGGAAGGCTGTAAAAACAAAGGATAAAGAAAGATTTAAAAAATTATAGCAGGAGGGTTTTTGGCAGTAGAAGAATTTTAACTAATATGAAAAGTATGTGGATTAAACTTGTTTTCCTCAGTTTTGGTGTGAAAGTCCCTTTTCCTTGTGTCAGGGTGTGACATTCTAAAATAAAGTTGATTTTGGCAATCTCCCCCCTGATTTTGATGTATTTTGATGTACATGGGGGTAGTGTGGTAGTTAGGCAGATACTCATCTCTTTAATGTAAAATTATTTTCGTCCCTTGTGCTGAAGCTGTTTGCCTCAGGGAATACTTCAGTTGGAAACTTACAAGAGAATGATCTGGCCTTTTATAGCCTTTTTTTTTTACAGGGCTTCTATCCAAGAACCACCTGGAACCACTGATTTACTTGAAAAACATTCAGTATTATTAGCTACAGTCTAAAGAAAAAGAAAAACAGAAAGATCCCCAAAGGGGCAAATTCCAAAGACCCTAACTCAGATGGAAGTCTGCCATTGTTTATTTACCAAAAAAGTCTGTTAAGCAAATGAATACAGTCAGAAGCTTAAACTTCAGGTATGTCTCAAATTTACATGTGTACACAAATCACATAAGCATCTGCTTGTTAAAATGCAGATTCTCATTGCATTTTAACAAGGTTTGTTTTGTTTTGTTTTTAAAGTTTTTATTTGGGGTAGGACCCAAGAATTTGCCTAACAAGGTTCCAGGTGCAACTGCTGCTGCTGGTCACGGACCACACTTGGAGCAGCAAGGTCTTCTCATGATTCATTTGTTTGTAAACAGCACCAAAAAAGAAAAAAAAAAAGCCCTGGTGACTCACAAGAGCAGGCCAGGCCAGTTGACGTGAATAGCAATACTTAATTTACCAAATCTGGTTGCATTAGTGCAGGTAACTGCTTTAATTTTCAGATCATTGAAAGTTTCTGTAATTCAGATTGGTTTAAATGGACTGTGAAAAACCCTGCCTTAGGACCTCCAGGCTTAGTTCCCCACCAACTATGTAGTTATCTTTTGAAAACTGATACCTGGGTTTTACTAAGAGGCTCCCGCCCCACTTCTCCTCCGTATCTCTGTTTCTAGAACCTCTTGATGACAGAGTTGGCCCAACTGCCTGTGGTTGGCACCCTTTGTTCTAGAGAGTGAGTAGGAGATAGCAGTTCACATTGAGGTTTCCTACCTATCAGGGTTCTCCTCTTTTTCACTGGGGAAAACACATAATTCTACATTACTGTTTCGTTAAGACTTCCCACATCCAAGTGTGCATTTGGACACACTGATACACCAACACTCTCATACTCATTCACACACGTAACCATGGGAATTTAGCAAATGTAATTAGAAATGAGAAGAATAGCATGTAGAAAAGGAGAGTCCTTCAACAGAAAGCCACCAAAAGAGGTTATATAGTACATTCCCTTGCCATCCAGCTAGTGGGACAGAGCATTAACTCATGTGGGATTGGCTGCAAATGTTGCTTTGTCTTTGCAGTCCAAAATAGCACTATCCAATTGAAGTAGAATATGAGCCACACTTGTTTTTTTTGAGGTAGGGTCTCACTCTGTTGACCAGGCTGGAGTGCAGTGGCATGATCTCGGCTCACTGCCACCTCTGCCTCCTGGGTTTAAGGGATGCTCCTGCCTCAGCCTCCTGAGTAGCTGGGATTACAGACACCTGTCAACATGCCTGGCTAATTTCTGTATTTTTGGTAGAGGTTGGGTTTCACCATGTTGGCCAGGCTGGTCTCAAACTCCTGACCTCAAGTGAGCCGCCCGCCTAAGCCTCCCAAAATGCTGAGATTATAGGCGTGAGTCACCACACCCAGCCCACATAGGTAATTTTAAATTTTCTAGTAGCCACAATAAAAAAGTGAAAGAACACAAGTGAAATTAATTTTAATAATATATTTTGTTTAATCCAGTTTATCTAAAATATTGTCATTTCAACACATAATTAATATAAAATTAATAATAGGCCAGGCATGGTGGCTCGCACCTGTAATCCTAGTACTTTGGGA